AAAAAAGTATATGAGCATCAAATCTGAATCTGATCAAGCCTCTACATCCAGGGCTGGTTTCACGGATGTAATCTGTGCAGTCACACGTGTGATTTAATGCTCTGCTGTGCCCATCTTAAAATTTGAACAAGAGGTCCCACGTTTTGTTTTTGCACTGGGCCCTGGAAACTAGCATCCTTGTCTATATCTGATGACCAATTTACAGGAAATAAAAGTGTGGTGGTTTAAAAAGATGTCCACAAATTCTCTGATACCCCTTCCTTCAAAAGATGGAGCCTCATTTCTCTCTTCTTGAATATAGGCTATACTTTGTGATTTGTTTCTAATGAATAGAATGGATTGGAAATGATAGCGTGTGACTTCCAAGATAGATCATAAGACACTGGCATCCACCTCACTCTATATCTAACATCATCTGCACTGGAGTAAGCCAGCAGATACACTGTGAGGAGACTGGAGCAGTTGTGTGGAGATGTCCATGCAGTGAGGGACCGAGGCCTCCAGCCAACAGCCATGTGAGCAGCTCCTTCAGCTCCAATCCAGCCATTAGTTCACTGCAACCCCAGGTTACAGTTTGAATGCAACTTCATGACAGACCCTGAGCCATAACCACTAAGCCAAGCCACTCTTGAATTCCTGACCCATAGAAACTGTGACGTAATGTTAATTATTGTTTTAAACTATGTTTCGAGGTAATCTATTACAGAGGAATATGTACCTAATGCAAGAAGAAACAAGGAGCATATTAAATGACAGCATGAGGATACAATTGGTAAAATCCAGACTGTGGGAAACTTAAAGGAAAAAAATCCAATTATCTTCAACTAAAAAATTTCAAAGAAAAAAAGTGTATCATAGAGATCTTTCTTGGATCTGGATTCAACCAAACTGTTTAGAAAGTTACAGGATAATTAAAATCATTCATTTGTCATTAATATCCATGTACAAATATCCATGATATTTGATGATATTAATAAATTATTGCTAATTTTTTTAGGGAGGTGGGCGTGATGATGGCATTATAGTTATGTTTTAAAAGGGAAGTCCTTGGCCAGGTATGGTGGCGCGTGCCTGTTGTCTCAGCTACCTGGGAGGCTGAGGCAGGAGGATCACTTGAGCCCAGGAGTTTGAGGCTGCTGTGAGCTAGGCTGACAGAGTGAGACTGTGTCTCAAATAAATAAATAAAGGAAGTCCTTGACTTCTAGAGATACATGCTAAAATCTACAGATGATATGTCTGGAATTTTCTTCAAAATGCCTATTGAAGGTTGAGAATTGGTAGGGAAAAGGAAATAAGATTGGCCATGAGTTGATCATTATTGACGCTGAAGGATGGGAACATGGAAAGTTCATTATGTAATTCTCTATTTCTTACATGCTTGAAATTTTCCATAATAAAAATTTAAAGAGTAAGTATGCATTTATATCAATACACAAATAACACACTACTACATTTAAGAGTGGGCTTAATAATAAAAAAAAATTATAAGAAAGACAAAGACCATAAGGATTTGAATATGTTATTAATATAATCAAAAGTAATTAACAATTTTTAAATGTCAAAACCCAAACCCAGATTCCACATTACTAACTAATGAATCTATTTAAGGAATACTCTGGTATGAAACTGGTATTTTTGGCACATATTATTTGATCCAATAATCCATAATAACCTTAGAAGTACTAAGCCTTCTAATTGTTTGATTCAAATCAGTCATATTTAGTCACCAGATGGACTTTCTTCTTCACCTATTCCATCATGTTAGAAAAAGAGTATAAATTAGCACCTTATAATGACTCATGATAGACTTTTATCATCCACATAGGAAAGTAGTGAAGAGAAGGTTATGCTAACCATTTGATGGTAAGAGAGACATAAACAGATGCTATTCACAAGTCTCAGTGCGCCAATGGCAATTACCACTTGTTCTGCTTCATCTATTAAGTGCTATGCATGAAAAAGAACCCAAGAGACAGAAAAATCATGCAGACACAAATCTTTACAGCAACAATTGCATTTAAAATTCCTTCACTTTCAATGGCTCAGATTTTCTAAAAAAAAAAAAAAAAAGAAAAAGAAAAAATAAAATAAAATAAAATTCCTTCATTAAAAATACACAGCATACGTAGTTATGATAGAGTAATGCAAAGAATATGCCATTGCATGACTACCCCGCGCCAAGAGCAGATGACTAGAGCAGGTTCACAAGGGTCTCGCCTCCATTCTCCTTTCCTTTACAAATAGGAGGGAGGGGTTGTTTGCTTTATGCAGACACCTTAGGAAGAGTCAACTCAAGATGCCTCATTATTTCTCATTCTCACCAAATCAGAGTATCTGTGATAACTCATGGCTTAAGCTTGACTGCAGGTATCATTAACACGACAAGGAGGAGGACTGATCCAGGTACAAAATTGTAAAGATGGTTTCATTTTAACTATGAAAGAAAAAAAAAAAAAAAAACCTCCTCAAACTGGTGCACAGATTTAAAAAAAAAAAAAAACCTGAGAGAAAAAAATATTCCAACACATAGGTTGACATTAATAATGGACGTAGCCCTGGATGACAGGATTACAGATCTATATCCCTTCCTTTCTTCTTCCTGAATTTTAAAATGTATTTTTTTCTTGAATATCATGTATTTCGTTGTGTTTTGTTTTCGTTGTGTTTTGTTTTGCTTTTTGGAGAGAGGGTCTCACTCTGTCTCCCAGGCTGGAGTGTACAGTGGCACAATTATTGCTCACTGCAACCTTGAACACATGGGGTCGGATGATCCTCTGCATCACCCTCCCGAGTAGCTGGCACTGCAGGTGTACTACATCACATTCAGCTAATTTTTTTTATTTTTTGTAGAGACAGCAATCACCACATGGCCCAGGCTAGTCTTGATTTCCTGGCCTCAAACAATCCCCCTGCCTCAGCCTCCCTGAGCGCTGGGAATACAGGTGTAAGCCAGCCACCATGCCTGACCTCATGTATGTCTTTTTAAATTAAACACTTAAAATGTGCTATTATTGTTATTCTTATATGACAAGTTTTAAAAAGATTTTTATTATCATAGTGACAGGTTAATAGAAGTCCTTTATTTAAAATTTAAACATTTTATTCACTAACGCAACTGCAGAAGATATATACTTAAAATCTATGCCCAAGTTATTTCAAAGTATGTGTTTTCATAACAAATATAATCAGAATGGCCTCCTCTCAGTATGAATTATTGACATGTTGTTACAAATAGGGCTATACATTTTTTCTACCAATATGTCACAGAAATATACTAAGCATAATCAGTTCCTCTATTACATTAAAACCACAGGAATTTATTGAACAAAACAATAGTTTACTTACTGCAAGGTATTATGTTTCAATGACCATTTGTCATACAACAATAATAAATACAGATGAGAATAAATAGATAATTCAGCCTCAAAGAGAAAAACAATGAACAAGAAAGCAAAACAAGAAACCTGAACAGTTGCACACAGGAATATTAAATTTTCCTTAAGTGTTTTAAGAAATCAAAAAAGGGCAAAAAATACAAAAAAAAATGTGTTTATAAAACTATCATGATAGTCTGTAAGCCATTAAATATGGGCCATATTTACCTGAGTCAAAAGCACTGCCTTCTCCTAGAAGGAACATATCAGTGTAAACTGAAGAGATCCAACTTCAGCGCAGATACATCCACCCTAGGTTACCTTTCAAGTAACCACCCCAGGTCATACAGAGCCTTGAGCAATGACATCTCTTGGTTTGGGCTCTATCTACAGGTTAACCTTGACATCTCAGTTGTGTGTGACTGAGAAAGAGAGAAGGGAGGAGGCAAGTGCTCCAGTAAAGGAAATTAATTGTACCCAAGGTGCTAATATTATGTTCCTAGCTCAAAGGAAAAGCTTTAGAGATCACTTTGGCTTAGAGATCCTCTTCAAACTGAGTATATGAATGAAGCCAGTGTACTGAGCTTCCATTTGCTTCAATTCCATTTGAATTCATGAAATTGGAAGAAAGCTGTATGTAGTTTTTCTGGACATTCCCCTGGATGTTTAAATGTAAAACACCTCATCTTAAAATGGCCATATTACAGTTCTAGCACTTCACCAGCCCTTCAACCATTCCCCAACACTTAAAATAATTCCCCAATAGCATGAGGCATCTGCTGACAATAATTATCCTAAGAGCTCTTCTTCAAACAAATATTTTGATAACTAATCAGGGAATATAATTAAAGGAATATACTTCTCAGAATATAGAAAAGTATAAAGCAGAAGACAAACTTTTACATGAATTTTCCAACTTCTTTCTGTATCTCACCCTGATGAAAACTTGATGAACGAGTTCACTGTTCCAGAAAAGACATGAAGTTGTTTATAAATACTCTTTCTTCAGTTACTATTCATGATAGGTTTTGGAGGACCAACAAAATTATAGAATTTTAGGAGGTAAGCAATCAAAAGTACTCATCTGTCCTCCAACAGCACCTCATACAATACTTGAAGATCTACACAACACTATTTTCAAACAGGTTTACAGTTGGACTTAGGTGGAAAGAGATCTACAGTAAGAGACGTCAACTGGTCATGTGACATAAATATGACAGCCTGTCAGTGAAGGATTGTCGCTGTCATAGGCTGTCATGGGACACAAAAGGAGTATCACTGATCTCTGGACGGTAGGGCCTTCAGAAAGCTGTAGATCAAGACACTTTGCATTTGGCAAAATGGGGAGAGAAATTAGTAAAAAGCATGTCCAAGTTACTGTTATGACATCTAACGGTCAGAGAAAGATATCCTATGACAAGAAAGATCAGCAGAAAACATACTTAAAGGAAAACATGGGATCAAGGAAGGCTGAATCTTGGTAACTGTTATTAAGCTGCTGCTTTGTGCCCTGCTCCAGTAGTATCATCACCATTGGAAAACTACTATATTAGGCTTCTTCATGAAGCTCACTGGGACTTTAAACTGAGAGTATCAAAGCACCATTACACATGTAGGGCAGGGCTTAAGATTCATACTAACTAGATATATCATTTTGATCAGTTATAACTGTAACTTACCTAGCCCTATATATTAATACTTTTAGATTACATTTATCACTGAGTCCTTGCTGTAAGTCATAAAAATCATAAATATTTTATTATAAAAGCTAGTCTAAAAGATATATATAATAAAGTAAAATCATATATCAATTTTAACTACCAAGCACTCTTAAATGTTTCTGAAATTTTGATTCTCAGATGTTCAAGAATAAGAACTCAATAAGTTATGGGTAATTGAATTTTTATTATATTTTGAACATGAACAAAACACAAAAAAGATACCCTCAAATTTAAACAATATGTACGCTTGGCTCTAATAAAAAACTAGTGTTATGTTAAAAATCAGAAATATACAGTTTGGAAAATAAAGATTATGACAACATTTTAAAAAATGGTACATGGTACATACTAGTTTAGAATTTTCTACTAAATTTAATCATCAGAATTTCCATCTGGTTTTCCATGTCCACCTTTATTCCTGCCTGTACACCCACATTCAAACTCTGTCCACCGCACAGGCAGCTCTAATCTTCAGTAAGAGCTGTTATCCCTGCCCTCATTCAGCCCACCTGCATCACTGCTTTCGTCATCAAAGCCAGACATGGCTGACCCACCCCTGTTTAGAGACATGGGATCTCAACAGGACACAAGACCAGCCTCCTTTGGCCCTATCTCTGGTTGATGGTGATAGTAATGCTCTCATAACCTTTCTCTCAAGGCCAGTCTCCACAGCCTCTTACCATAGCTCACTTGCTCCAGTGCTTAGTTCTTCCTGACTCTAGATTATGCAAGTGTAAAAACCCATGAGGTGGTGCCTCATTAACCTAGGATTCTGAGGTTTGTATGTCATGGGTTGTTTGATAACCTATGTAGATAATAACAAGGAAACATTATAACATTAATAGAACTGGCTGTTACTGCTTTGTAGGAACAAAGCTGCCTTCTGATCTTGGGGATGAATGGAGCCTGAGTGTTATATTGGGTGCTAAGTAACTCAGGAATATGCACCTTTATTTCTTTCAAGATGATGCCACAGAAATGTCCACTCAGTCTCCTGATTAAAATCCTAAATGTGGTAAAATGCTTATTTATCTAAAAACTGACCTTATTTTTTTTTTTTCAATTGAGCAATGTTTTTGAGTTCAGGTCTGTTCTTGCCTTTGTGGGTTAGAAATGGACTATTTTTTAGCCAAAGAGTATAAAGAAAGTGGAGAGAAAAACCCTACAATATGACTGATTTTCTATATTCCTTTAAAAAAAATTTCCCCTGAGTTTACATACGAATATCAATTCTTCATAAAAGTGTCTGAATTAAGAGATGAGAATGAAATGTGATAAGACAGGAAAACTTGTTCATTTACAAACATAAGAGATATTCAACTCCAAGTAAAATAATAATAATAAGAGATTCAACAGCACAGTTACATACACTTTCAGTGAAGTTTCAGCACTCCATTCTGAGCTCCTAGCACCAGGTAAACACGAACCATAGGTAGAAATATGCCATGTTTAGCACAGAAGCAGCATCACAGTTCATTAGCAGATTATGGCCAGGTCAATAAATATTACAACATAAAATGTACTGGTGATGAAGCTGCAATACAGTAACATAAGTGAGGTTTAATATATATATATATGTTTTTTTTTCTTTTTAACTGAGAAGCCCAGTTGTAAACATTCAAATTAAATTACTGTGCCCCCCACCTCCCCCAAATCCAACCACACAAACAAAAATCATCTTTTGGCTATAAAATCATGAATAATTTGTACTCTATGGCTCTTTTGTCTTGGTAGTTTTCAGAGAAAGACATGAGCTGTGTTAAGGAGCTTCACTGCTTTCTCCATCTTGAATAGCTGCTAGTTCTGGAATCTCGTGCATCCTCAGAACCTCTGCATACAGTAAATAATTTTGTAGGCTCCTTGGAAGTGGTAACTGACGAATAAAACTGTCAGATCGTAGGTGTTCTGGTTTTAGACTGGACCGAATTTCCAAACGACAAAGATGGCTTAGGGATGGGATAGAGGCTGGAAAAACAAACAAAAAAAGCACGGTGAAAATTTTTCAACAGAAAGATACAACAGTACATTAAAGTAATGCCTTTTATTCTTTTTCCCATCTCTGTGTAATAAAAGAAAAGTGATATGTTGCTTAGAATTACTTTGAAAGAAGACTATTTTGAGCCAGGATGACCACAATAAACTTTATTTATTTATTCTTTTCTACAGTGTTCAGTGGCTCCTTTCCCTCCAGTTGTTGGTCATATATTCGAAGTCAGTACCCCAGGGCCATAAACACTCAATGTTTAAATTCTAAATATCTGACAATCCCAGCTGGCACTTGCAAAATGGATGGACTAACTTCAGAAATGATGGAAGCTCACAGTAGCAAATGCTTCATCCCTTTTAGTCTGTTCCACTACAAATGGTTTCCACACCTAACACATCAAGTGAATTGATGTATAGCCTACAAGTTTTCCTGTTTTCGCCCATGACAGAATGAAATTTTAAAATTAGCACCCAGAGAAAGGGCTCATTTATTAAGTGCCTTCTATACCATATGCCCATGTACTTCACATATTATCTCTTTTTATCTTCATTAACCCTATGAGTTATGTTATCATATGAAAACAGAAGGTTACAAAGAGGTTTAAGAAACTTTCTAAAAGTCACAGAGCTAGCAAGCGGTAGAGAAAGGATTCAAACTCAGATCCACTTGACCCCAAAGCCTCTGGTGTGTATTTGCCAAAGCCAAGCAGCCAAAAGGTAGTTACCAATTAAAGGATAATCCACATGCACATAATTAAGAACCATATGACTGTAGTTTCATTTTCCAAGATGAAGAGTGTTAACTAAAGAGGTTAATGTCCATGAAAACTGAGAGTACTAAAACAGCTAGTGCTTTAATGTGAATCAAAGTTAAAGCCTTTTGTTAGTATAAGAAATCTTTTATAAATCCTTGTGAAATATAACAATGATTACCAGACTAGGATAAGAGCACTATCAACTACTATCAAGAGCACAGCTGATACCAGACCAGCTAGTCTGATGCCAAGTCTAGGGTTCTTTAAACTCCAATACCCATGGGGCCTGAGACAAATTAATTCTCTAACATCTTCAATATCTTCCAAACCACTGAAGTTAAATCACCTTAAATTTTAGTTTATTAATTTAAGTTTAGTTTATTTGCTCAAACACGTGTTTCAAAATGTCAAATAAGAAAACAAAACAGTTACCTGATTTTGTGCATAAAACCTAAGTCTAAGAAAAGATAGGCATTTTCTTAAAGCATAAGTCACAGATTGGCTATTTAAATATTTAATAATAAGACTGCTGTATCTATAGTATACAGCACACTTATTTCCAAAGTGTTGTCATACCCATATCTTATTTAAATTTTACCCTTTTCTGTTAAAGGGGATGCAATGCCATTGTTCTCACTTGAAAGACAGGAAAACACAAGTAAAGGGTGCCCTGGAGGAATTAGCAGGCACACATATGGAGAACTTGCCTAAACTGAAAATGCCACAGTTTTCCAAAGGTGTGAGTAAGCTGACTATGTGCAACTATCAAGTATAAGGAAGCCCTCTCGCCCAGTAAGATCAGGAACAATAATTGGTCAGTTAATAGAAAGTCACCTTAGAGTAGATGACCAAAACCAGACATACTGTAAACATTCTAATTTAAAATGTGTACATGAACCACATCCATAATGTATCACCTATGGTTTGCAGTTTCACTTTCAAGTTACAGCATTGAATTTAAAGACATGTGAAGCAAGGAGAATGCATAATCCCTCCATATTTTTATAATTTTTTTCATTTCTTTCAGTTGTCTCTCCTATATTTAATCCAACATCCATTTCTGTTCAGTGCTCATCTTATCAAGTCTTTTTAAAGCAATCGATGTTGCTTCAATAGAAACAATGATTACCTTTTCACACTCATAATTCATTGGCTTACACAATTCGGAATTATTTAACTACAATAATATGAACAAATGTAATAAACATTTCAGAAGTAAACATAACTGCTTCCTGGTAAGCACACACCTCAGCTGGTAGGGACAAGTGTATGCTGGCTTTCTAGAAAGGAGCCTTTCACCTGCAAACATTGAGCATGCTGACAGGCACAGTCAGATGGGACTGATGGGGAAAATGACAAGAATGGTCAACCCAGTGTGTGTGTTAATTTAACACCGGTTAAGCGAATTTCTATGTATTTTCAGTTCCAGTTTAACGTCTGTTAAATTGAATCTCTTCATTCTGCACATTCGTGTTAATCTGGATACTTATTACATACCCAGGAGGAAGATAAAGGGTGGCTGTGCAACCTGCAGGAATGCTGTTCACTCAGGGATAAGGGATCCTTAATGCTGCTCCAGCTTCTCTGACTGGACACACTATAGTGGCTTTAAACTCCCCTGGCTGACTGGCTGCCCCAAAGCCTCCTGCAGAGAACTCCTACCTTTAAAGCTTAATAAATCATTTGCTTACGTTGATATGTGTGTGGAAGTTTAACCACTGATGAACAAGCTAAATTGGACCAGCACACACATTTGTTAGGGGAAGCTTAAGTGATTTGTCCACTGCACATCAATAACATAGCTGTTGCTAACTAGATCTAAATGATTTGATTCCAAGTCTAGTGTTCTTTAAACTGTGATAAGCCCAAACTAATTCTCTAACATCTTCTAAACCCCTGAAACTATCATACGTTTCAGAAGATCTTTCCCTTTAATAATAAAAAAGGGTATAGTTACTTCAGATATTGGTTCAAATTTTAATTGCATAATTTTAGTATTCCTCTTGATAGCACAATAGATCACTGGTCTAATGAACAATTAGAGGTAAGAATTGTGTTCAACTGAACTGAAAGAATCTTTCATGTGTAGATTATTAACACAGACAATAATATGACTGTCCGTGCCATTTTAGTTTAATATGCCAGTGAACATCAAGGGAATTTTATAACCATATATGCAATATTTCAAAGCACATAAAATTCCTATAAACATTTTAGTGATGCATAGTATTTCCAGATGTGTTGCCATTAGGCTGAAAGAAGATCAAGCCATGCCTTGAATTTATAATATGAAAAAGCCATAGAAGCTGTATGTAAAACATACTTTCATGAAAACTAGTTAAAATTAGATTTTAATTTGTTAAATAAATCTCAATGTTCCTGGACTATGGCACTGACTGTAGCCTAGAAAATAATATCTGAAACCATGCTACACTTTTAAGTCATTTTTCTGATCTGATCATTTTTATTTAGTATTTTCAATCCATACTATTGTCTAGAGATAATGTTACCTATAGATCATGTTACCTATAAATCTACTATCATAGAATAGAAGCAGCCTTTAACTTTTCATCTCTATATATAATTCTTCAATTTCGTTGAGTTTGTTATGTTATGTTATGTACTGGCAGAATAATCAAAATACAAGGCTATGTGTTATATAAGGTTTTATTAAAATCAAAAGCAGATACAATGATCAAAATAATCCCCATAATTCTTAATTCAATATGCTTATTAATACCTATTTTACTACAGCCCAAAACTACATCTATGTCATACACACCTACTATATTTTCCTTAACTATTCACCTCTAGCCTGCCCTCATGATAATGTTCAAATGATCTATCTGCCTAGACAATATTTCTCTGTTTCTTTACATTGCTTTTTCCATAACAAATGTATTCAATTGACTTCCAAGCCATCTACCACCATTTATATTTTCAATATTAACATATCGTCTTTCTAGTTGGCTTCCATTCTTTTGTTACAATTTTTCTTAATTTACTTGTATAGTAAATTATACTACTTTCCCACTGATTTCTCCTTTAGAGAAAAACAAAAAAACAACTACCAGAGGACTTTGAAAAATAACTAATACAAAGACTAAGGCATGAGGTCAAAACTTGAAGAATAATCAGAACAGCAGCAATGAATAGAATAAACAGAAAAAGCACCATCTAGTAATAAGGCCTGTGCTGTAGTTGAGGACCCACCATTAACTAGTTGTGTTAGCTTGAAAAAGTCATTTAAATACTCTGACCTTCAGGTTCTACCTCTATAAAAAAGCATAGTGCCCTCATCTATAAAATGGCATAATGACACCTTCTTCCATCAAAAGCTTGTTGATGAGGTTCAAATTAGAACACATTTGCGGCCAGGGGGTGGCTCACACCTGTAATCCTAGCACTCTGGGAGGCCAAGGTGGGTGGATTGCTTGAGGTCAGAAGTTTGAAACCAGCCTGAGCAAGAGCGAGACCCATCTCTACTATAAAAAGAAAGAAATTAATTGGCTAACATAGAAAATATTAGCCGGGCATGGTGGCGCATGCCTGTAGTCCCAACTACTCGGGAGGCTGAGGCAGTAGGATCGCTTGAGCCCAGGAGTTTGAGGTTGCTGTGAGCTAGGCTGATGCCATGGCACTCACTCTAGCCTGGGCAACAAAGTGAGACTCTGTCTCAAAAAAAAGAACACATTTTATAAACTGTAAAACACCACATAAATCCTAGGCACTACTGAATCTAGTGATCTGTCAATGTTCAATTGCACATTCAATTAGTAAAAAGTCTTTCAGCACAGAACTCCAATGTATGTATCTTTATTTACATATAAATTACATGTATATTATTTGTATCATTATGGTATAAATATTATTTATACCATAAAATAATACAAAATTAAGAATATAAACTAAAATGAATAAGATATATATTTTAAATAACTTCATTCCTTCATTAAAGGTATAAAACCCCTTTAAATAAAACAAAGTGACTGATTAAACTTTATTAATGTAATTCTTAGTGATTTGGCAATTCCAAGTGTTGGTGCTAGGTCCATTTTATTTTGATACTTGGGTTTTATAAAAGCTGATGTAGCTGAAAAAAATCTTACAAAAGCATGTGGATCTACATCGAAGAAGTACATTGTAGCTTAGCTGAACTAAATCAGGATTCTAGTCTATCCCATCTACCAATTATGAAACAGTTTTTATCAAAATTCATCTAGAAAATTTCTATTTGTCCTGGTATCAGTTTATAAGCTGATTAGAAAGTTTTACATTTTTATTAAATACATTCAAAACCCAGGGAAACTATTTCCAAGTATTTTAAGAATGACGATATAAGAGTTTTTCTAGGTATCACATAATGTTTTTGGCAAGAAAAATTCCATAACAATAAAAATATTTCCCAGTTTCACTTTTCAAAATGATCTTCACATAGCAAAAGTTTCTTTCAGAAACCATTACTTTCTCATTCAGTTAATATGTCATCTTTTGCTTAAATCAACACAATTTTTAGATAATATGTGCTAGGCTAAACATTAGAACTGATAGCTATTTATTGGCAAGGAAAAAGATCAAGAAAATTGGAACAGGCCGGGTGTGGTGGCTCACGCCTATAATCCTAGCACTCTGGGAGGCTGAGGCGGGAGGATAGCTCTAAGTCAGGAGTTTGAAGCCAGCCTGAACAAGAGCAAGACCCCATCTCTACTATGGATAGTAAGAAATTAATTGGTCAACTAATATATAGAAAAGATTAGCCGGGCATGGTGGCGCATGCCTGTAGTCCCAGTTACTCGGGAGGCTGAGGCAGGAGGATTGCTTGAGCCCAGGAGTTTGAGGTTGCTGTGAACTAGGCTGACGCCATGGCACTCACTCTAGCCCTGGCAACAAAGTGAGACTCTGTCTCAAAAAAAAAAAGGGAGTTGGATATATGGCACTGGAACCAAGAAAAGAGGTCTTGGCTAGAGAAACAGACCAGAAAAGCATTAGCTACCCTCAGAGGTTACCTCTGAGCTTACCTCTGAGCATTAATACCTCTGAGGAAGGTTTCTGCAAATCTCCAGCCAAAATAAAATCTCTTAAGAGATGATGATTATTACTCTACACAAGCTCTACCTAGTACCTGATTAAACAAGAAGCCCTTGATGGATTTCGTCTACTGCAGGGTAATATACTCATGCACAATTTTTACCTTCATCTGGACAAACTTGCCATATGTTAAGGTCTTCAGAGTAAACTCTCACATATCTTTACTAATTGATATGCTGCAATAATTTTCCCATTTGGCATATGTTCCCTCTTTTGACTCTTTGTTCCCAAATCCATTGTTCCATGTTCTATCTGTTCTGAATAGGTATTTGTTCTCTACTGCTGCAGATACATAATTAGTAAAAGAAGATGCAATTCTCAACATTAAGAATTACAGGCAGTGAGTTTTCCAACATTATCATTAAAGAAATTCTACACTAGAAGGCTCAGAGACTTCAAACAGATTACTTCTCTTCAACAGAAATCTCTCTAACAGTTTGAATACACCTCAGTTCAAGAGCATATTTTCCTGAATGTCTATTTTTGATTGAGAAAATTTACTTAAATGTAATTTTCCAAGAAATTAGAAGACATTTCTACATATGCATAAGTTCACTTGTTAAAAACCTATTCAAAATGTTTTATGAAGAATTACATTTCATGTAAAAATAGCAATGAAGAACAATTTTCCTAACTTACGACATATAATCTGGTTGACAAAATATAGTCAAAGGAAAATAATTCTAAATAATTAAATAGGAATACTTGGCATATATTATGTTTAGTTTAAACCTATTTCCTTATGTAAAATCTTCCCCCAGTGTGTGTTCTTTAATTTTTTCAATTAGCTTAAGAAATTTTTAATAAGTGAGGATAAGTTGAAAAAAAATTTTAGAACAGTCATTTAAAATATCCATCATATGAAACAAAAATATCAATCAATTCACAGAATCTTCACCCAGCTCACCTGCACAGTTATATCATACCAACAGACTGGCATATATATTCAATAAGGACAGGTATCAAGGATGGTAACATTTCCTTTTAAAGATAATAAAATATTACAGAGAGAACATAAATCCACTCACATTCCAAAGAGGAAAATTAAGTTTCACATTTTTCTGACTACAAACTAAATATTCAATAAGCAGATTTTTAGGATCCATATTTGTTTATATATAATAGTTATTAAAAATTAAAGGATATCATTAAATAAAAATATCAGTAAACATCTGCTTTTCTTTATGTGTTCCTTAGGCTAAACTTATAAAGTCAGATATAATTTTTATTGAAGGAAATTACTATCCCTCTCCCCCACAATCCTATCCTTTCCTTACAGAAGAAAATGCAAATTATGTACAACTTGACATGTGTTTTCCAATGAACCTTTTCATTTAAAATTACAACACAACTAGAGAAGCGAGAAAAGGAAAGTAGTGAAGTGTATTTAAAAATTATTCTTTCTTACCAATATGTTGTTGTACAGCCCAAGAGGAGTTTGAAGCACGAGTAGAGAGCATCTTTTCAACGGTTGGCGGAAGTCTCTTCCAATTAGTAAACTCCAAAGTGAAGATAAGGGTGTCACTGCTGACTGAGTCGATCCTATATTAGCAAGATATTAACATGTCATTAGATATAAAATATGCCAAGGGTTCATTCTGGAAACAAAATAATACATACTCGTTCTTACAAAATCTTAGTGAGGAAGGTAGACAAAACTGGGGCACAGAAGGTATTTATGTGACAGAATGCATGTTCATTCACAACAATGGATATGAATAATCATCTACCATTCAGTTCCCATTAACTGAATTGACTCTGTGTGTAGCTGTCCAAAAGATGACACAAGGAATTTCTTCTCTCAGAGAGAGTAGGAACTTTCCTTCCTATAGGAGACTGCACCAATATTACCAGTGGATCTGCCATCATCTCCTCCCAATTGGACCATCTTGCCAAATACAGATTGGCCATCCTTACAGACACATAATTTAATAACCCTAAAAGGCAAATACTCCCAGCTATTCCTAAACTGAGATACAAGAGAGATGGCTTATTTCTGCCCAACTCCCAGGGATGTACCGTTGTTCTCCTCTACGAACCTTCCCCATTATAGATTCAGCCCCAAAGGATAAAATTCATCTTTAAGGACTAAAAGAAGGGGTTCCAGACAAATAGTTCTTCCTCATTCATTCAAAATGTCATATTCCCTACCAACCCACCCAAGAGACTAATCCAGATTTTACAAGCACTTGAATTCTAATGGAGAAAGCTGTGGTTTAAGAAAAGTCCTGATAGTAGTAAATACTACCCCGACTACTTACAAACGTGTTTCCTGAATTCTTTTTTATTTTTGAAACAGAGTCTCACTTTGTTGCTCAAGCTAGAGTGAGTACCGTGGTGTCAGCCTAGCTCACAGCAACCTCAAATTCCTGGGCTCAAGCCATCCTTCTGCCTCAGCCTCTCGAGTAGCTGGGACTACAGGCATGCACCACCATGCCCGGCTAATTTTTTCTACATATATTAGCTGGCCAATTAATTTCTTTCTATTTATAGTAGAGACGGGGTCTCGCTCTTGCTCAGGCTGGTTTCGAACTCCTGACCTCAAGCAATCCGCCCGCCTCGGCCTTCCAGAGTGCTAGGATTACAGGCGTGAGCCGCTGCGCCCGGCCTGCCTGAATTATTTAAGCCCCAGCTCCTGCTCTCTAAAATGAGAGAATATTTAATACATAACCTGCCCATTGCAGGGGACCATTTGTAAAAATAATATAGCATAGTAAACATACTTTTAATATTATAAAATGTTATACAAATAATTGATATTACTAGTACTGATTTGAAAACTAAACAGTATTACATTTTAAAGAGGTATCAAAATATTACACACATAAAAGTTAGTCAAAGTTTAAAGAGAACTCTAAATCTTAACAAGATTACCCATCCCATACTCAATTAGATACCCCCCTACCATCACAATGTTTGGAGAAAAATAAGATTATTAGGGCCTCTGGTAATTACTACAAAAACAAAAATTCTTCTCAAGGTCACCTTTTTGGAGATCTTACTGAGCAACAAGAAAAGAAGGAAAAGAAATAGAAGGAAAGGGAATAAACTGAATAATACTCTAAACTTATCACCTCACAGACAACTTATTTCTGGTAATTCAAAGTATTCCTGAAATGACTGATTACAGATATGAAAATCATTTCCCAAATTCTTAATTCTCCAATATCCAAACATACAAGGAAGAACTTAAAGTGTAGCACAAATGCCTTGGTTAAACATTTTACTTCTCAGTCAGCTCTCAGTGAAATCACAATTTATCAGGAAATACTGAGAATAAATGAAATGATAAAATATATTCAAAGATAAACAATCTCCTTGACTTTCTAGGAGTCCCACACAAAAGGTTACTTGGTTCTGGTTCATTATTTCTTTTTTAATGGTTTCACTATTCTGCCTTTGCCTTAATGTGCTTTAGGTCTTACTGTGACCAAACACAAAGTCATTTTTATGCAGTTATCTGAACATACACATGAGAAGTAAATCTGTTTGCACAGTTTTAGTTAATATAATGGTGAGTTTATTTTACCAACACTGATAACGTCACTAAAAATGTATTGTTACTATATTACATTGACCATTACATTGTACAGAACAGTTTTACAATCATAAACGAGTGACAGTTAATCAACTAAATGCACAGATGACATTTATGTTCTATTATTCTCCTATTACATGGGGTCGGGGGGAGGAGGAGAGGACTTAATCTTGCATTTAAAGTTGAAAAATATTTCAACTTTTGTGGATTATACTATGACAGGCAATTATTCAACCAGATACATTTTTAAAACTAAGACAAGCAATACCTAGGAAAGACATTTATAATTTATATGACAAAGATTAAGCTATGGACTTACACGTGATATAAATAAGAAACAACCAAAATCCACTTTAACACCATATTGGAATTTTTATATGAGAATTTTTCTTGTAACAGCTCTTTGAATGTAAATTTGATCAAAGAAGGCAAAACATTTATCATATTCAGTGTAAACACTGGCTTTACCCATTCAATAAAAGATCAGTGAACAAAAATTTGACCATGTTAAGCATTTTCATTGCTAAAGTGAAAATTTCCATGGTATTTTTTCTAATGAATATAAAGTGACTAAAATGACTGCTTAAGAGTAAAATATATGCAATTGGCATTCTCAATTCAGAAAGCTGGAAGTTTTACAACTTACTTCAAAATAATTTGTACTTTACTAGTTCTTAACTTTTTTCTATTCCAACATATCCAATAAATACAGCACACATACAGTGCCTTATTACTATAAAAATTCTCAACTATTTACACCTAGAGGAGTTGGGAAGCTGTATCGGATCTGGGGAAAGGAGGGTGTATTTTACAAAGACTTCTAAGAGAATAAAGCTAAATAAATCCTGCTTCCTACCAAAGTCAAGTGGCCTGTCTAGTGGGGACCTTCTTGCTGTTACACTTTTTAAAAGTGTAAAAACATGCCAGCTCAGGTCCCTCTTCCTCTTCTTATAAAGCCACCAGTATCATCATTAGGGCCTGATGACCTTATTTAATCCTAATTACCTCCCAAAGGCTCCACCTCCAAATATCATAATGCATGAACTTTGAGATTAAGTTTCTAACACATGAAATTTGGGGGATACACTCAAACCACATTAGTAGGTGTTGGGCAGTTTTCTCAGTTTGGTGAAAACAATAAATGAATTAGAAACCAGAAAGGAGCTTTGAAGGCTTAAGGTACCAAGCAAGTCATATGGAGTCCAAGTTAATAGTTTTAGTAGAAGAACACAAGAAGTAAGGCTTAGAAGAAAGTGAGTGCCTTGGGGACAGGCACCACAGGGAGTGAGAGGTGAAGCACAGAAATAAATACTTCTAGATGTTTTATGGATATTCTATAAAATAACATGTTCTCTATTTTCCTAGAGACTTTCATTTTATTTTCTCATTTGACTTTAATTATCAGGCCAACAGAGGCCTCTCACTACTACAATTGCCTGTCTCAGGACAATAACAATTTTCGCAAAGACTGAAGGCTAGCAGAAATAGTCTTCCTCTGCTTGCCCAAGAAAAATCCCAACTCAACATTCATATAATCTCTCGCAGAGGGCTGTCCTTCTGAGAAACTTACCACAGAAAACAAGATATATTCTCAGATATTTCAGAAATCAGTTCAATCAATTAAGGAAGACAAATTTCAAATAGACAAGCACAGGAGTATTCAATCTGGTTGGCTGAGGCATAGATAACGGAAATCTCCGAAGCAGCTACAACCATTCTTTCTTCTATCACAGGCATTTTAAGAGGAGCATGAGGGATGGCCAAAAGTAGAATACTCCTATCAGAAGAGTTTAATGGCATCAGTCCCCTCCTACCTCCCTTCAGTCACCTCTTACCTTTTCTAGGCCTCCGTGCTTAAACTCAACCTCATTATTAGCAGTCCCCAACTCCTTCACCCCAAGCCAACCATCACAGTCAAAACACACACACACACTCCTCTCAACACAATGATCTCAAGACATTGGGGAAAATGAAAGGTAGTATATGCACTTAAAAAGGGTAAAGCCCACTATGATAGGATTTCTTACCAAGAACTGCACAGTAGAGTCAGTGGGTCAAATCCAGCAACTAAGAGATGTGGCAACCATTCCTTATATTTTGTTTGTGCTTTGACTGCATGATTCATAAATTCAGATATATGGTTCCATGATGTCAATGGGCAACCTTTCTTCAAAAAGTAGCGAAATACTGAAAACTTCTCATACTTCAGGCAGTATGCCAAATGAAGTTCATTTAGCTGGGCTCCATATTTCAAAAGAATATTCACAATTCCAAAGAACTCACAGCTCCATCACAAAAAAATAAAAATTAAAAAAAGTTAGACTTTTACATAAAATACTCTTACAAATTGTTAATAGCAGTTACAGCTGGGGAATAAGAATAGCAGATGGAATAGTGGATGGTTTTTATACCTTTAGTATATTGAGATAGGGCTACAGTTTCCAACCCCCAGGCCACAGACCAGTACCCATCTACTGCCTGGTCCCTAACAGCCCTTAGAGCTCTGCTGCCCCCCACCGTCACCCCCTGTGTATCTTCCATGAAACTGGTCCCTGGTGCCAAAAAGGTTGGGGACCACTGGATTAGGGGACAGGAGAGGGAAACTTTTACTTTTTACACCTTCCTGCATGGTTTTAAATTTTCAACTGTGAATAAATATTATCCTTATAATTTAAAATATTCATCTTAAAGAAATATATAATTTTAAGATTATTATGGAATCTAAAAAATAAAATACACAAAAAGTTTAGATAAAATAAATATAAAATGTTAAAACCACAGTCAAGTGAGACTATTTTCCCCTGAGGACTTATGTACAAAACTTGAAATCAAGGTTTTAAGCAGTTAAGACACTACTACATAGATAAAATATCATCTAACTCATGTATAGCTTTATAAATCTAATTCATTTGTTCTCCAATTTGTGCTTCTTTAGTTAAAAGATTAAACTATTCACTTTACTATTGTTTGTATAGCAATTAGAAAAGAAAAATCTATAATTCTATAATTTTTTTGCAAAAATTAATAATTTTGTTGCCTGTTTACCATCTTGCTATTTGTTCTTGATGAGAATTTTGCCATTACTCATATCACTGTTCTTGAAAACAACCCTGGATATATGCATTTTTTCCTCTGGCTGCTTTCAGATACACTAAAGCTGAGAAAATTTGTTGCCAACAGTTTTGCACTGCAAGAAATTCTAAAGGATATCCTTCTGAATGATGGTTCTAAACAGTTATCACCAATTTATTTCAACCACTTTGAACTCATTTAACTAGCCTCTCATTATTTTGCCTGCAGTTATTACTTGCTGAATCCGCTACTGAACAGACAAGCTGCACAGGAACTGTAGAACGTGCCTCAGTAAGTATGGAGGGCAACTGTGGGAAAAGCTCAAGACACTGCTGCATTACAAATGTGATACACGATGCCCAAGAAACCTGGCAATTTTAATTTTACAGCCATGTGTTTTCACATGTGTAATTCGGGGACTATTTGAATTCTTCCCTCAAGCATTTGAAACATAATAGCCTAACCATGGATATTAACAGTGTAGCTCTTAAAGATTCAGTCCAGAATATACTTTTGCTATAGAATACAAGTACATGTATTGATATCCCTTAAACGCAACCTCTTTGATTAATGCTACAAATAGTTTCCCTAGCCATTTTCTGTTTAGAAAAAACTATAAAACCAAAAGGCTTTCTTATTAAAATTTCAATATAGCACCTAGACATGTGGCTCGTGCTAAGAAAATTTTAAAAGCAAGGTCAAAAGATAAAGCATCTATTTCTAAAGTGTGAGAGGGACATATGCACATATAATTACCTAAAATAACAAGCTTCACTGAGTATTTATTCTGTACCAGGCACTCTGTTAAATGTGTGACAATGCAAGATTTTCCTTAATCCTCACAACAACCCTAAGAAGTAAGTTCTATTACTGTCTCCATTCTAGATGCAAAAACTGAAGCCTAGTCACAGAGCTAGTAACTGGTGGAAATGGGATAATAATATTGAATGAAAATCTAACAGTGAATATGACACAGTAAATTTCTGAAATTTCTCTATTATGAAAACTGAACACTTCAAGAAATAGTCAAATTTAAGACTATTTTAAGGCTAGACCTAATATATCCCAAAGTAGGCTACATGGAACTTTAGTGTCTGAAAGCCATCCACATAAAAAATGATCTGTAATGAAAAAGTCTGAGAAATCTAACATTGTATACAGTAAGCCTGGAAAAGAAAGAAATATAGGATGAACATATTTTTACACAGTATGTTAGTTATGTTTTCAAAGTATATGTTCAATGTTTATCTTCAACCTCCCAACACCTTTCAGAAAAAGTACCTTTAGAATTAAAGCAATGGGCCCAATCATTAATCTGAAAAAAACATAATAAATAAGAGTATAAAATGCCCCAAAAGTCTATAAACAAAGGCACAATGTCATATTTATTGTGAAAAAGTTTATCCTGTGTTTCTGGATTTTTCAAACCTTTATAGATCCATTCCCCTCTTAGGAATTCACAAAGCACACTGCCATAAAACAAATGCTCAGAAGCCTTCCAGGAAAGAAATTTATTTAACATTGTTTAACCCCATGTTAAACCCCAAACTTACGTAACTATACAACTCTTTTTATCTCATATAATATCTATTAACAATCTATAGAATTAGTATTATACAAAACACACTTTGGAAAAAAAGCTGTAACCTTCTTCCAATTACTCACATTGTCTTGTGTCAATGTTAGAAAGTCAAGAGCACACTCCCCAATGGCTTATGAAACTTCCTACTGCTACAATATAGAACCTTTTCCAAAAAACCCCTACCATTTATATAAAGAATAATAAACACAACATAAACTGAAGAATCACAGAACTTTGTCAGCATGCCCTGAGCTTCTGAGAAGGTTATTAATAAGACCTCAATTACGTGTGCATGCTCCACAAATGCAAGCAACTTCAGGGCTCTATATGACCTTGACTTCTACGTGTCACTGAGCACACAGTAAAATCTCAGGCTTAGATGATCTCTGGTTAAAATATAAATTACATGGACATACATATGTACTTCTCTTAACACTTCAACATATTCTCTCTCAAGCCCTAATATAAAATTGGGAAAATTATTCAAGTCTCAGAGATTAAGCAACCAAAAAGTCTATCTCATTTAATATAAATATCAAGAATTATGACACATAATGAGACAGCACATTATATAAACAGTGAGTATCATAAGATACTGAGAAAGAAGAGGGATTTAAAAACTAAAATGTAATTGTTAGACCTTATTTTGGGGGCTTGTATCAATATATCCTCCACTACTCTAGTCTTCAAAATTCAAAACTGTGCAGAAAAACAGTGCCCACATAAAAGACCCACTATAACAGAAAATTCAACATGAAAACAAGATTTATTTTAAACAAATAGAAATGGGCAAGCATCTTGAGCATTCTATGCTCAATTGGCAAATAAAATATCTAACCTACCCATTAGCTGAATTATAAAAGGTTAAATAGTAAATTTTACTGAATGGCTTTTAGCCATTGGCTGTAAACAAAATGTAGACATTAGGTTTTGTCAGATGTACCCATGTGTAATATGATGACTAGAATGGACATAATGAATTCTACAAAACTAATGTGACAATAATGATCAGTATCAATTAGAAAAACAGACAAAATCAGGTCACTTAAGCCATGATCTCCTTCTATAGTGTGGGAGGCAGGGGAAAGTTTTCCCTTCGCCCTCTGAAGGTCCACTGAAAAATCAACTCATAAAAGGCAGATTAATTGGAGAAAAGGCATACAAATGTATTAGTAACGTGTACACAGGGGCCTTCAGAATGAAGACCCAAAGATGTAGGGGAAATTGTCTATTTATGTTTAGCAAAATATCAACAGCCATTTATTTTATAGAAATATGATTGGACAAAAAGGTATGATCTAATGCTAACAGACTGAGTGGGGAAACCCAGCAAGGCCTCTCTGCCTAGATTCCTCTAGGCCTCTCTGGGCATACATTCCTTCCTTCTGTATGTGGCAGTGCCAGGTAGATAGTGAGGGATTCCAGGTCTCCTAGGGACAGAAGTGGGTGTTGTTGCCTGGCAAGAAGGACAAGGGTGGGCCCCAGGCCCTATATCTTGTCCTGTCCCACCTTGATCCTGCCCTGAACTATTGCCATACCTGGGGGAGGAGAGAATACTCTACGAATCGGCCAATCATAACTTAGCACATCAGCTGTAAAAGAATGCAAAGGACTCTCTAGCCCACAGGCCAAGCAGCATAGGTACCACAGAGTCTGGAAATTGACCTAGAACAACCCACATGTGAAGTAATGTAATTTCCAACTTTCTGAAGTAATTCCGTGGTGATGTGTGAACCACGAGAGAGGTCCCAATCTGGGCACTATAAAACAAGATGCAGATCATAACCAGTCCCTTTTTTGGTACCCTTCTTTTTGCTTTCCCTTTGCTATGACAATGGGTCCAGTTGTCATCTGTGACATATGTATCAGGCTGTGTAAATCTATATCTTGTTTTTGCCCTATAATCCTATCTATCTCTCCTCAATAAACCTCATTTTCATGCTTGCCTTACTTTGGTGTGCCTGGTCAATCTTTGGCCATGAGCGCACTAAGAACTGACATTTCAGACTGAAACCTCAGAGTAGGACCCTCTCTGGAATGGAGGGTGTATGATCTACAGTCAAACAAGATAAGTCATTAAAAAAAAAATTTTTTTTTAAATCCATATGCAGTGGTGCATTCCTGTAATCCCAGCTACTTGGGAGGCTGAGGTGGGAAGATTGCTTGGGCCCAGGAGTTCAATATTACCCTGGGCAACACAGTGAGACTCTGTCTCTAAAAATAAAAAAATAAAAAACAAGGTAGGTCAGATAATTTTCTTTCTGGTCAGTTTTTACATAGAAATATAGGGGGTGGGGAGCAAGAGTAATCTTTTTAGGTTTTAGGGCTGGTTTGGGGGAAAATAAGTTCTGGTTTTTATGACCTGCCTTGGGGAAGAGGGATTCCATAATAGTTTCTATGGCTAGTCTCCGCAGGAAATGGGACTGAGAGGGAGGGTAGGAGAAGGTTAGAGAAAAACTTTTGCTTCTGAGACCTTCATTTTAGGGTATGTTTTCTGAGCCCCAACAACAGTATACATAAAAGGCATTAATATTTGTTCAAACAGTCCTGAAATTTCTCAACTTCCCTCCTCCTTCCCCATTCCAGTTGGAGGAATCTTTTTCTTATCTTTTCTCATTTGAGTTGAATTACTCAACTGCCCTTGAAAGATTGGCTTCATGTCAATATAGCTGTTAACTTTTTAGGCCCAAAGACAAAGACTGCTTTTTCTGCAGGATCTGCATGATGATGGAAGAGACACCTTTCCATCATGCCTGCGAGTAGTGAGAAGAGCTAAAGGTCACCGCTTCAAACGGAAGCCCATCCTCACAGAGCAATATCCAACAAAAATGTTTCAGAACACTAATGCTGAGCTAAGAAGCTGAATGAGCTGAATAAAATAATAAAAACTTAAAAATCAGGGCTATTATCTATTACTTTTATCACTTTTTTATATTAATGATATTAATTATACTATTTATAAAAGCTTATTAGAACACAATAGGCTAACAGTATAAGAAAGGCCACAAACACTAAATTTATAGATTTCAGAGAAATACCAATTCGAGAATTGCAAAGAAAAGCCAATTAAGATCTTTAAAATAAATTTGCTATAATTTTGCCTTTTGACAGTTTCTGGCAACCAACAAAGAGACCTGAAGAAAGGACACTGCTAATGACTCCTGACACCCCTTGAAGAACGTGAGGAACAAAGGAAAGGTTCTGCTGACCCTTTGGAGGTCCACTGTCTTCCCCACAGTGCCCTGAGAGTTAGTTTCTCTCAGGTCAGGCTCTGCTCTTTTTGCATTCAGCTCCCTAATTTTTTTTAACTTTCAATTCCTAGGACTAGTTTGTACTGTGAGAGAGTGCATAACCTTGGGTTGGACACCAAAGGTTACTTTGTGCTGTGAGAGCACATGACCTTTTGGGGTTTGTGGTGGTTTATGAGTCACTTGGAAGAGCCGAAGTTGTGACAGAAACAGCACTGGGCCCAGTAGGGAGGTCTCAGGTGTCTTACTGGGTCCGACAAAAACTGGCAATAAATGGCAATCACTGCAGGAAGTGTGAACTCTGGCTTTAGAAATTTGCAGGGAATGTGTGTTCTATCCTCTTTATTTCTTTTTCTTGTGTGCTTAGGTAGGGAACAATCATTGGCTAAGTTGGTGAAGAGATCTCAAAGCCAAAGCTACAACTTGACATGGGGGCAAAGATCAGCCACTTAAGAGCTGTTAAGGCACTCGCCACCAAAAAGTAAGACTTGCTTTATGAAAAGCTCATCGCAGAAATGGGTTAGTTGACATTAGGTCACCGGCTAGCCTCAAGAACACATCCCTGCAGGCCCTCCTGTTATGACAGGGGGTCCATTCATTCATTGTCTGTGGCCAACATATCTTACTGTACTCAATAAACTTTACCTCATGCTTGCCTTAAAAAAACAAAAACAAAAACAAACTCAAAACATTCCAGCAACAAGGTATACTGTAAAGTATTACAAGACCCACCCCCATGGTGTTTCCCTCTTTAGACTTTTATCTTGGCCTGGCGCAGTGGCTCACGCCTTTAATCCTAGCACTCTGGGAGCTGTGCTGAGGCGGGAGGATCACTTGAGCTCAGGAGTTCAAGACCAGTCTGAACAAGAGTAACACCCCACCCTACTAAAAACAGAAAATAATTAGCCAGGCATGGTAGCACACACCTGTATCCCAGCTACTAGGGAAGCTGAGGCAGGAGGATCACTTGAGCCCAGGAGTTGAGGGTTGCAGTGAACTATGATCATGCCACTACACTCTAGCTGGGGTGACAGAGCGAGACTCTGTCTCAAAAAAAAAAAAAAAAGATGATGAAGCATGCCTTAACTGCTGTGACCAGAAGGACCAAAAACATCATTCCTCTAAAAGATACGATGTAGGCCAAAAAAACAGCACTGGTAAACATACATGCTACCCAAAACCATTTTTCATTCTGACCTAATAAAAAATGTTCAGTTCTATAACGGAGTTAGATATGGTATAGAAGAGGACAAATGAAACAAAGTCATCACGGAAGCCTTACTGAAGGTAACTAAACTAATGAGGGATCCTCTGTTTAGAAAGACAAAACTTGAGGGGTATGTACAACAAAATTCTATGAAATCATGAAAGTTGTATATAAAGTGGGTCGCAGATACTGAGATTAACCAAAAGCCTAAATATTCAAACTAAAATGTACACCTAGAAGCTTAAATTTAGAAAAAATAAATATTTTACATAACAAGTGTCAAGAGATGGTAAAGACTGAAAAGCTTAGTAAATAAGTTTTAACAACTATTGAAATTAAATCTCAACTAGAGATCCATAATGTTGAATTCAGAAACGCCAATAAAGTTTTAAAGTATACCTGCAACCTCTTCTACATAATTTTAAAAAGTAGCATCTATCTTCACAACTTATTAAATTATTGGATGGATCATAGATATTACTAAGTATGGGTTTTCTTATACATAACCTTATTCTTACTGTTTATTTTAAAATTTTAATAGTGTTATAGATAGATAAAGTTATTGGCCAGAGCTAATAAAACAACAAAAATTCTTCATTTATTTGTAGGATCATGATAGATTAGAAAAACAATCATTTTCAAGACTTTTAAAAATTATTACAACTCATAACAAGAAATGCTACATACCAAATACATTAAAAATGCAATAATATCTACAAAACCTAAATTTTATTTTTTGGCCTAACAAGTCTTGTGAATATAAATTTCAAAAGGTAATAACCTGAAACAAAGTTAATGTCTTACTTGATAAAGTCCTATTTTTAATTCTTGAATTATTTTGAAGACCAATAATATCAGAGACTTCCTGCATTTATTTCACTTGGAGTATTTCCTAAAATTGTTACACTAAAAATGCAACCCCAATCCAAAGAGGGAAGGAAAACAATCTGATATTATCACTTCCTTTTTGCTACAGCTTGACTGAACGAAGAACATCATCACAGAAGGTTTTTTCTGTTTGTTTTCTAAATTAGCAATTTAGCACTAACAAAGATATGAATTTCACCACATAAGAAAGATAATTGGGAACATATCTCCAAATAGCAAAAAAGGATAAAAATATAGCAAAGATACATACTCCTTTTGGAACGCCATACACATGGGAGAACTGAATCCGAAGACAAGGCACGTCTGGGCATCTGGACTGTAGCCATTCTGGAGTAATATTTCTAGGCACTGTTCATGTCCTCCAAACACTGCTGAATAAACAGGGCTCACCTTGTCTGGCCCGGTGTCACAGACCCGGTTAGTAAGTGGTATTAACAAGTCCAAGATTCTACAAATACACAAATTCAAAAGCATTTAATGTTTTTATATATACATAATTGTAGGCAGCATTACTGTAGCACAATATTTAAGAATCATCAACTGATTGATTTAAAGACTTTCTGTCTTTGGTATACTTTCTACCTCCATTAAATTATCACATGCTATAGTTATTCTAAAATTTACACCTATTGCCTATTACAAAGGTCCTTAAGTACACCTGAAGCAGAATTAAGTAATGTTCCCAAAAGTAATGTGTTTTTCATTTCGATTTTTTCACTAGTTATTTACCTTACCATCACCACCACCACCCCTTACTCCTCCAAATTCAAATTTTATGTTAGATAGTTTAGGATCCAATAAATTATTTAAAACTTCATTATACTAAATATAAACTCATATCAAAAAAATAAACTATTTTCCTTCTTGAAGTACCAACTAGTTTTACTTTTCCAATTAGAAAAAATGTTTAAAGATGATGACTGACATGAAATGAAGAATAGTATTTTCATCAGAAAGAAATTAGAATTTGTTCTCTGGGAGGCCGAGGCGGGCAGATTGCTCAAGGTCAGGAAGGAGTTCAAAACCAGCCTGAGCAAGAGCGAGACCCTGTCTCTACTAAAAAATAGAAAGAAATTAATCAGCCAACTAAAAATATATAGAAAAAAATTAGCCTGGCATGGTGGTGCATGTCTGTAGTCCCAGCTACTCGGAGGCTGAGGCAGTAGGATCGTTTGAGCCCAGGAGTTGGAGGTTGCTGTGAGCGAGGCTGACGCCACGGTACTCTAGCCCAGGCAACAGAGTAAGACTCTGTCTCAAAAAAAAATAAAAAGAAATTAGAATTTGTTAAAATATTCTGTTATCTTAAAGCAATATGAGGTCATTAAATACTGAGGCAAATTTATAAAGAAGCTGGTTGTTAGGCCGAGAAAGTTCTAAAGAAAATCATTAAAACAAAAGTTCTTAAATTATTTGTAAATTTACCTTTAGCAGTCAGCTGGAGAGAAAAAGGACTATTCTGGCTTTTCTAAAAGTAAAAATAAAACTCTAGGGATAAAACCACGAAATTCCCTTCTTTCTGGGAAAAGACACACATGGCTACTCCAAAGTATCTTTATAATATTATATTTCCCTTTGCTACTTTTCCTTATGTAAGGTAGGCCTAAGTTACATTTAAAGAGAATTTATATTCACAGAAGAGGTTGGTTTTGAGTAGACTATGGAGGAAAACATCAGTGACAAACAGAACTCTCAAAATTGAGAAAAAGTCAAGACAAATTCCCACAAGGGTTTTGGTATTAATTTAAAGCTCAGACTATAACTGTATCTAATATTTATGTTTAAATAAATGACCAAGAGTTGCAAAAAATATTAAATATAAAAACCTAAGTACTTTGTTAAAATAAAGACTGTTTAATGTCTCTTAAATTTAATAAAAATGTTTAATTATTTCAAATGAGTTGGAAAAATCATACTCTTTCTCCCAGAAGGCATGAATATTCTTAAAATATATTTAAAGGAAACAGTAAAATATGCCACCAAGTGGCATAATGGCCAAATTGCAGAATGTTTTTCTATTATGAAGTAATGATCATTTTACTATTACTAGTTTTTTTAATTTTTTTGAGATAGGGTCTTGCTCTGTCGCCCCAGGTACAATGCAATGGCGTCGTCACAGCTCACGGCAACCTCAAACTCCTGGGCTCAAGCAATCTTCCTGCCTCCATCTCCCAAGTAGCTGGGACTACAGGCACGCACCATGATGCCTGACTAGTTTTCCTATTTTTAGTAGAGACAGGGTCTTGCTCTTGGCTCAGGTTGGTCCTGAACTCCTGAGCTCAAGCAATCCTCCCGCCTCAGCCTTCCAGAGTGCTAGGATTACAGGCGAGTGCCACCATACCTGGCCCTATTATTACTTTTTAAATTAAATAATACTAACAATAGCAACAAAGAGTATTATTGTAAAATTATGACTCTAAAGATTTTAAACATATAATTTTAAAAACTGTTGAGTGCCAATTTATGATAGGCAGCCATATTCTCACACATATAACCAAGTTATTATCATCTAAGATTCCTGGAACCCCCAATTTACTCAGTCTCCAAAAAATATCGATAATTTCATAAAAACTCTTGGATAACAAAAAAGAGTAACAGAAGCAGGGAAAAGTACTGGGTTGGATTTGAGATTAGATAAAGTCCAACCAAAGGTTTAAGATAGAACTATGTAGCACAGACAAAAGGAAGACTCCACTTCAACAGACATCACAAAAGCTTTCTGGGGTCAAGGAAGTAATGTGGATAAGTAAATAAGACCATTAAACTGTAAGCTGAAGATGCCTGAGATGAAACTAGGGAGAAGGGGGAGGATATGGCCATTAACTGGAAAAATCAAACAGAAGACACAACACCCTGAGAAAGCCCAAAGCTACCCAGCCTCTAGTGGCTATGCCTTATACGATGAACATGCAGGACTAAATGGAGCTGAAGATAGTATGGGGAACAGTTTAGGGGTAAATCTAGTCACCCAGCAGACTGGTAGGAAAGATAATACCAAGGATTTTGCCTGGATATAAAAGGTCTAGTCTAGATTTATTCTTTATTAGCTTTTAATTATGAGACCATTTTTATTTTCTGTTTTAAACACTTACTTTGTATGGCCCATTTGTGCAGCTGCATGAATAGGTAACTGCCAATTGTCTTCATTACAGTATAGATCAGGATCTGCCCCACTGGACAGCAAAAGCTCCACACATTTTGTGTGACCCTCTTGAGCGGCAATAAACAAGGGAGTAGCTTTGTCCAAAGCTTGACAATTGACATTTGCACCTAATACAAAATAAAGAATATAACAGATAATTCTCATCTATGTAAACAAAAAAAAAAAAGTAATAATCAACATAAATTTCAAAGCAACTGCCATAAAAGGGTTTCATAGTACCATAGCTTTTCCCCCTCATTAGATGTTGTTGTATAAATATACTTATTTTGCTTACTTCTTGGTAATCATTCAATTGTTTTTGTTTTTATGTCAGCAATAAAACAAGTGATTTATACTTGAGAATTCATTTTTAAGTTAAAACAAAAATCTCATTCAATGAAGGATTCATTTCATTACAATCCCTCCTCCAACAAGCACTCTGTAGGTCCAACTAAAGTAAACATTTAAAAGTGAAAAATGCAAACCATCAAATATGGATAACATTTCTGATAATTACCAAAAAAGAAAACCTAAATTATAAGACTTTACAGATGCCACTAATTGATTCAGGCTAAGATTTTTGAAAAATATTATCAGCAGATATGACATACTTGGGAGCCTTGCCTTAAAAATAATATTGACTATGCTCTGTCTTACATCTCTTTCTTCATGACCAGTGCGAGATAAATAAAGCCTACAATAAAAGGAAAAGGGTCTCTGAGATTTTGAAAATCATAAATCTAATCAAGTTATTTAGATGCCAGTGTATAAAAGATTTGAAAATGCTGAATTTAATTTTTATGAAGGTTTTGAAAATAGTTATCTTCAAACTTTTCTTGTTGGCAAATCATGTACTAAATGTGCTAAGTATGGCATCATTACATGACTATGAGAATTTTTTAATTTCTGGAATATATCTCAGTGAAAAATCATCATCAAGAGGGAAAAGAGTATCTTTTATTTAAAAGAATATTCCACAAATGCACCTTGAATAAACTAAAGCCCTGAGATGAGTAAAAGCTATACAAAACACAAATGACAAGTTAAAGAGTCTAGGAAACCTTCAGAAATTCCAAATCCTAGATAACTAGAACTTTGACTTACATGAGGTGGATGCTTCACCTGCTATTGGCTTTAGAAAGAAGTAAACACCATAACTGAGAAAAGTCTAAGAAAGAAATTTTCTTAACTTTCTTTTTAAATCAATACATTTGAGTGACAATTTCAAAGGATCAGAAAGAATGAGGAACCAGTCCCTATAAGACTACAGGTGGGAAAGATGGAAAAATGAGAAGCAATTCACTGAAAAGGAACATCATTTTATGGAGTTGGAAACGTATATAGTTACAATATAACCATACATTTTCAACTTGCTATTCATAACAATTCAAAGAGAGAAGGGGGAAAAAAAGAACAAAGCAAAACAAAACAGGCGCTTAAAGCTCCAGGTGACAGGTAAACAAACTCATCATAAGGAGAGAGCCATTAAGATGCAATTTAACTTAATTTGTTCCAAATATTGATTAAACACTAATAATTGGAACTTATAGGGCTGGAAGTCAGAAAATGAATCAGGACAGTCCTCAGGAAGATATGATGTAGTAGAAGGAGAAAAATTAGAAGTCAGAAGGCCTGGGTCCAAGCCTTGACTCTGTTAGGAAAGTTTCTATATCTTTGACAAAGTAATTAAATACATAGAATTCTTAATCTAAAAACTACATGTTTGAATAAATGATATTGGAGATTCTTCTCAACTCTTAAGATTGACAGATTCATTATTTACAATAGACACTTAAAATTGGCAATAATGAATTATTTCTTTTACTTCCTTCTTCAACATATTTGAACGTTTATAAAGAGGAAGCAGAAATAAGAAAATATGTACCCAACTGTCTAAATAAACTTTGTATTGTCTATTTGAAGGCAGTTTATAAAAAGCCTAGGTATTTTAAAAAAATGCCTGGCAGCAAATCTGGTGGTGTTTTCCTTCTCTTGACAATCCATGCTTCACTCAGGTTTGGAGGATTTTAAAAGCCTCTGCATAATAAACATTTCTGGTAACAAAAATATCACACAAAGTAAGAATGCTACCTCTCAACAGCCTCTTCTCTGGGAATGCCGTATGTGTAATGGCTGTCACAGAGGAACCTTTAGCTGGTTTATGTTGCTATTAACATAATAAAGTGTAAATAGGCTTTGAAATAAACCCATTTAAATAATCACACAATTAACAAAATAGAAAACTGAAAGGTTTAATATGCAAAATAACCATCTAATAAATTAATTAAGCCTAAACTAGTCTTGTATCCTAGAAAGCTGGAACTGCTCAGGTCCCTATAAGGACAGCCCCATCATTCAACTTGCCAATAAACCTGCTTTAATGATAGATCATTATGTTCCTACTCAGATAAGTTAGTAGCTGTGCATTGCTTTGTTAGTAATAGACAGTTAATAACCAGGTTCCTGTATCAACTTGTATTTACTCTTATTTACCACTATATAAAACCATAAATTTCACAACCTGATTTATACTTGAGTCAAGAATTATTCTTCCTAGGAGGATATAAAGTTTAAAGCTTACAATCTTAACAATGCAAAGGCTAATGGATTAATCTTACCCGATGAAATAAGTATGCTCAAGCTTTCTAGCTTGCCATACTGAGCAGCCACAAATAAAGGTGTGATTCCAAAGTCATCCTGGCATTCCTGGTTTGCTCCTTTTTTAAGAAGCAATTTTAGGATCTCAGCATTTTCCTAAAGCACAGATTCATATTTTAAATAAGAGAAAACAAAGAAAATAGAAGGCATCTTTTTTCTTATTGTTTTATTTTTTTCTTTTTTTATCCCCTCACTAAAGGACACTGTGAAAAAGAAAAAACAAAACAAAAAAGTGTATTGTTACATTGATTGGGAAAGAACTGGCCAATCAGATTATCCTATACCTCTAGCTAGCCCATTAAATGTAAACAGGAAACACTGATCTTTAAGAATTATAATCCTTATAAAATCCTGCAAAATTAGCTCGTTAACCCAAGCACTAAGGAGCTATCAGAACTTCCAAACACACTTTTATAAACAAAATAAGCCATTGTTCTTTATCAATTTATATGCCAAATATTCTGATGGTTTCTTAACTATGCTATGAACATTTGAAAAATTTAGATAATCCCTATAGCCCAAAGCTGCTATAACTACTACAGCAGTTGGCTTACTCAGAATGATCATTAGCATTTAGACTGCCTTTTCTGTACTGCACTAACCATCATAAATCACAGGCAAGTAGGAAGCAAAAACTGTATAGAACTGTCATTTTAAAAGGGTAAAACACACAATTTACATGGAAATGAATAATAAATTCAGAGGTTACCTGAAAAGAAGCCTGGTGCAAGGAGTTCCATCCACACATAGAATGAGATCCATTAACATTTGCTCCGTGTCGAAGCAGCAGCCTTAACACATCTATCTGTCCATTTTCAACAGCTGCAAGACAGCAGTCAGAAAAATTATTGTTAGCAAAAAGACATGTTTGTAGGACTGGATGCTTTAGTGATGTTCTCTTCACTTATTCACCTCAGAACTCACAATGCTGTGATCACTCCTAAACATTTATCACAACTGTCTTAGCATAAACATATTAAAATATACCTAATCCTTTCTGTGCACACACAAAAGTATTTTCAATAGTATATTAAAAGACACAGAGGATGCCAGGCGCAGTGGCTCACACCTGTAATCCTAGCAACTTCAGAAGGTTGAGGTAGGAGGACTGCTTGAAGGCTAGGAGTTCGAGACCAGCCTGAGCAACATAGAGAGATTCTGTCTCTACAAAAAATTTAAAATTTAATTAGATGGGCATGGTGGCATGCACCTGTAGTCCCAGCTACTCAGGCCACTGAGGCAGGAGGATCACTTGAAAGAAGGAGTTTGAGGTTGCAGTGAACTATGATGATGCCACTGTACTCTAGTCTGGAACAACAGAGTGAGACCCTATCCCCCTCCCCCAGAAAAGGACAAATAGGAGTTGGAAGCAAGAAGCAAACATTTATTCTCTTATAATGGAGACATTATGATTCTAGTTTGTTAAAAACAAAATGGTAGGTGATGGGGTGGACAGTTCAGAATAAATAGTTCCAGAGTAAGTAAGTGGGTGAGTGAGTAAAAGAGAAAAGAAGAAGAAGACGAAAAAAAAAGAATAAATAGTTCCAGTTTGGAAAAACAATCTCCACAGGATTGAAAGGTTTGTTATCATTACTATTTGATCACAAATAACAAGAGTCACTGACAAAGTAAAAGAGCAAATTCTGTATCTTAGATACTTTTTACCATTATAAACAATACTCACTGTTTAAGAATATTCTTATATCCACCAGTGAAAATACAGTAAACCTTGCTTTTGAACTAAAAAGGGACTCCAGATAAACCAAAGAGTATTATTAAAGAAATGCATATTACTTAAGTACAGTAACTGAAACTAATGACTCCCAAGTTGCTGCTACAGTAGATCCTCTGGGCAGGGCTCAGTGGCTCATGGCTGTAACCCCAGCACTTTGGGAGGCCCAGGCAGGAGGACTGCATGAGACCAGGAGTTTGAGACTAGCCTGATCAATGTAGTAAGACCTCACCTCTACAAAAAAATAGAAAAAATCAGCCAGGCGTGGTGATGCACACTTGTAGTCACAGCTATAGTTAGGCAGGAGGATTGCCTGAGCCCAGGAGTTTGAGATTCCAATGCGCTGTCATGACACGACTGTACTCTAGCCTGGACAACAGAGCAAGATTCAATCTCAATCAATCAATCAATCAAATACAGTAGATCCTCTGAAGTAATAGTTTGTATGCCTAAAGATATCTAAAAATCATGTGTTCCCTTTTAATATTATAATTTTGCCAAATTATTCCACTTTCCTTTACACATGAAATTTAACATTAGGACAAGATATGCTTAGTCTAATACCTGTACATTTAACAGTTTATAAATCCTACCTAGTGAAGACAAATATAGGTGCAACATATCTAGAGAACATATTATTAAGTAAGTTGATATAAAAAATAAGTGAAACGATATAAAAAATAAGTGAAACTAAACTTTCAGGATGTACCTACAACAAAACTTTGCTATGAAAGTGGCAGTAATTCTGGAGGAATATAAGCACAGAGATAATGGAAAACAGAATGCCAGAATAGAACTACTACTAGAGTACTACATAAACACACACACACACACACACACACACACACACACAAATCAGCAAATAAGGTATGCTATGAATGTTGTAGGTGTGAGACTACCGAATGACTTCTTTAAATTGTTAAGTTTGGAAAAATAGTAGCATCTGTAAGTAAAGGAGTTGAGATGTGTAGAAGGCTTCATGTGCTTAGATTTGGGAAAGGAGATTTAAAAAACCATTAAGATTTTCCCCCCCATTTCAAGCATACAGTTATTCTACATCTCCTACCATAGTAGGAGGTAGGAAGTAGGAATCAACAATTCTCGGTCACAAAATTAGAAAAGCACTAAACATTTGGATGAAGGGTCACACTTGAAAAATGCTAATATAGATGAAACAATAAGGAATATAAAAATCCTGAAAAGTGTAAAACAAGAAATGATAAGTATGCTTATTTTTATTGAAATTGAGTAACATGCTATTGATATTCTATTAGTTTTATATATTAAATTTATACCAAAGCTTACTTCTCCCATAAGGACTCTCAGAAGTTCTTTAATCAAAAAGTCTCATACCCTGGAAGGGCCCAGAATGTAACCAGTGATTGTAATGGTACCACTGAGGGTAGAAATTTAACATAACTTATTTCTAAGTTAATATTCAAGAACATTTTACCAAGGAAAGAACAACAGTTTCTCAAGCTAAGTTATTTTTCTATATTCAATCTAAAGTCAATCTAATTTTGGGTGTAGGTCATGATAGAAAAGGAGGAAAATCTGGTTCATATCCAATTCATGCATCATTAGCAGTGACTGCTGGCAAAAATCACTCTATAGCAAGACCCCGAGTTGAAGATTAGCAGGTTGTCAGTGGTGATATATGAAACAGAGTGAAAATAAGTTTATCTTCCATCAGTTAGGCTGACCTTATAAAAACGAAAGTCAAAAAATTTGTTTTGATTATTAAATCCAGTCTAAAACTGTACTCCCCAACCCCTGGGCCGCAGCCCGGTACCAGTCAGGCATCACCAGGCCACACACCACCACCTGAGCTCTGCACTCCCCACACAAACATCCCGCACCCATGGTGGAAAAATTGTCTTCCATGAAACTTAGGAACTGGGCCGCACAGGAGGAGGCGAGCTTTGTCTGTATTTACAGCCGCTCCCCAACTCATGCAGCATAATCGCCTGAGCTCCACCTCCCCCAGCCTCCTCCCCTATGTCCAAAAATTGTCTTCCATGAAACCAGTCCCTAGTGCCAAAAAGGTTGGAGACTGCTGTTCTAAAAGACAGAGAAATTGTTTTCACTTTTAACATAATAAATACATTAAGATATCTGATTTCTACATCTCTACTGAAATTTCCCAATGGCAAAAGTGAAACTTTACATGTGAGCAAGTAGTATTTCAGCTTGTGCTAATTATTTAAAAATACCTTCTACAGGTACTTTCTCAATCCTATTGTGAAAACCAAGTGTAAGAGCATGTTTAGAAACCACAAGCATCCAAAATAGACTCTGCATTCTTTTCCAGAAACAGAGTTAACCACAAAGTATCCATAAACATCAAATACTTTTGTATTCTATGAGAATAGTGGGAACAGAGATGGGGAGGGAAGGATGGAGAAGGATGCCAAAATATTAAGATAGTGCTTCTACTTCTAGTGCTATCTAGATGTAGACAGAAATGAAACATGTCAGCAAAAGCAAATTAACCCTTCCCCATTGAATCGATAGTAACTTGACAGGAATGAACTACCCAATAGTATTTTACATTGTATTCTGTGTAGAAACTTGATTTACTTATTATTTTTTCTTATCTCACGAGAAGCAGACTTCCTCCTTTTAGGAGTTTCACCTGTGTTCTACCTGCCAATTCCATACCTTCTGCACTCCCGAGTTTGCTCCTTATATTGACTCCTCTCCAATTTCTCTAATCCCCCCTACTCTGTTGGGCTTTACTGTTCAACCTGCAAACTGGTTTAGATTTTCCTTTCTCTAAAAATAAAACAAACAAGCAAACTAATCTTTCTGACTCCTGCTATCAATATGCTATTTTCTCTCCCTTTCTTTTTTACCACTAGGCTTCCCCAAAGACTACTTTTCTTGAGTCTACATTCAATCATTCCATTTTTCCACAAATCACGCATTCATTCATTTACTGAATGGCAACATTCTAGGTACTAGAGATACACAAGTGAATAAGAGTCAAAAATTCCTGCTCCCATGGACCTTACAATCACTCATGCAAATTCCACTGCCATATTCATTTGAAGCTACTCCCTTGACAACATCATCAAATTCAATGGTATCTTCTCAGCCTTCAACCCCCTATTCAGTTCCTACTGCCTCTGACATTAAAATTCTCCATATTTCTCTGTTATTAACTTTCTTCAGTGTCAATGGTACTGTTATAGTTTTACAACTTTCTCTAATAACTCATTCTCTCTCTTTACTTTTCTCTCTCATACTATTCCAAAAATGTGGTGATTCACCAAAAGTCTGTCTTCAACCCTTATTTTTTATTCCTTTACTTTGTATTAATACATTCTCTATCAGTGAATTTGCTAAATTCTGAAACTTCAATTTTCATCTCTAGGTGAATGATTCTTCCTAGCCTAATCTTTCCCTTACGGTCCAGAAGCAAATTTCCAAATATCTGACAAATATTTCCATACTGATATTCTATCAGCCCCTTAAAACTAATATGCTTAAAATGGAATAAATCTAAAAAATATGTGCAAGATCTCTATACTGAAAACTACAAAATACTACTGGGAAAAATTAAGATCTTTTAAAAAAAAGATCCAGGCCGGCACAGTGGCTCACGCCTGTAATCCTAGCTCTCTGGGAGGCCGAGGCGGGCGGATTGTTCGAGGTCAGGAGTTCGAAACCAGCCTGAGCAAGACCCCGTCTCTACTAAAAATAGAAAGAAATTAATTGGACAACTAAAAATATATATACAAAAAATTAACCGGGCATGGTGGCACATGCCTATAGTCCCAGCTACTCGGGAGGCTGAGACTGGAGAATCTCCTGAGCCCAGGAGTTTGAGGTTGCTGTGAGCTAGGCTGACGCCATGGCACTCACTCTAGCCTGGGCAACAAAGTGACACTCTGTCTCAAAAAAAAAAAAAAAAAGTGGAAGGATATACCATATTCATGAATGTAAAGATTCACTATTATAAAAATATCAAATCTCCCCAAAACAATCTAAAGATTCAATGAGAGCCCAATTAAAATACCCAAAGTTGTTGTGGGTATTGTTTTTATACTTGGGGGAAAAAAAACACCCACAACTGATTCATATACAT